TCTCTTCTCAGGTAAATTTATTTTATTAGTAATATTTTGATTATCAACAATATGTATACCAATGATATATTATTTTCTGACTTCTATATATGCTCGAACAGTTTTACAGAGATGGGAAGGGCACTAGCTCTGGGCCCAAAAAGGGCAGTGTTTACCCAGAAGCTATGGTGCAGTTTAATTGTGGTAAACCTATGGTAAAAGATGTATACATGTGTTTTCTTTCTTTGGTCTGTGAATGATTTCCTTTTACAGTTTTCCTTTGATGCTTTTGTTTGTTTTTTTTGTTTGTTTTTTTCCCATATCTCATTTTCCTCTGGCATTGTTTATTAATTCTACGTAGACATACAGTGTATGCCTGTTTTTGGATATTAAAACCATCTTCTCTTTTCATTGCTTTTTCCTTATTTATATAAGGCTCCTTGCATGATAGTGTTTTTTTTAAACTCCTGGAAGCTGTTATTAGCATTTGTTTTCTGCTCCTAGAAGCTAAATAGTGTTATCCTATGTGTCCATGCACACTATTTTAGGCTAGTAGCGTTTTTCAAGCTTCAGCGTTTAGGAGCAGACAAAAAAAATGTTTTTGTAGAGTTTTTGGGAGCATTTTTCTGGCAGAAAAAAACACTAGATGCTCCTAACAGCTTTTTCTAGCTTGTTTTTTTTCTGCATGTATTGTAACAATGCTACTAAAACACTAATGCTCCTAAATGCTATTACCATAATTTTTTATCCAGTGTTTAAACTTAAAAAAAAAAAAAAACACTAGCGTGCATAGAGCCTTGAAGCTGATTCTTTTCTTCTTTCTGATTGTACAGTGTAAACAAACTTGCATTTTTGAGCACCCAGGATGCACAGTTGCAGAGCACAGCCTGCTGCCAGCAGGCTGTCAAAATCACTGACATGCTGAAATACACAGCTGCTGGACACTATTCCAAGAGATTTACACCCCAAATGCAGAGATTTTGTGTTTGGGGCATACAGCCTAGTAAATATACAGTCCTACATGCAAGTACTGCTCGGAACTGCACCCAGCCATGTACAGCCGCATATGTTAGCCTGTCCTTGATTTTGATAGGCTGCTGGCAGCAGGCTGTATGCTGCACCTGTGCCTCCCAGCTATCCAAAAATGTTCATTTTTTTACACTCTACAGGCCAAACCGCCCATTTAGATGAGGGCCAAGGCCTCATTTACACTTGCATATGCAGCCAACTAGCTTCTCCTACGGAACACTCAGCTGCGTTTCTTGAGAACAGCTGCGGATGGGAAGTCCCATTCAAAGTAATGGGAGGCTGATAGCGCCCACAACCATTTGCGGCTGTTCCCGTGCATTAGAACATGCAGCGATTACCTGCGGATGATCATCCTGAATGCAGATTGTCAAAGTACTGTCCCCACTGCATTTCACAGACTCCAGGACTCTGTGTACATATTCCAGCACTGAAAAAAAGACTATATGCACATTACCATGCGTAGTGCATAGGGCAGTCCATTCACTTCAATCTTTTTGTGCTTCAAGATTTGCATGGTTTTTAGCTGCACTTAGCATCTCATGCAAGCAAAATTGCACTTCTTGCTTGGTATGTTTGGAGTGCCATTAGCAATACATAAACTACAAGCATGCGCTAAAGGAATCTTGCAAGATTTTTTAAAAACTACACATTCAATCTAATGCAGGGCCCCTCTTCTAAAGGAGCTTCCTCTACTGGCAAACAAGAGCATTTTTTTTTTAGCCAGGAATCTGCAGGTCATATTGGGAGTATGACTATGGGTTGTTGTGCTGTCAAGAAAAAAAATCATGTAATCATATTAATGAGAAAAAACTCATTTTATGGAGAAAAATACCCACTATTTTAATATTTGGGGTAATTATGTATATTCTATCAAGATGAGATACATTTTGCATAATTGTACCATTTTATTTTGCTTTCACAGAATTTTCCAAAGGTAGGGATCAAAAAAAATTTTGATAGAGATGGAAGAAAACAAACAGAAGTATGAAGAGAAGGCTAAAGAATCCATTCAAAAATTAATAGATGACAGAATAGCCATGACAAGACGTATTCAGAATACTCAGGTTTGTAATATGGCTTGAAATATTTATCTAAAACAAATATTTTTTATACTAAAATAGAAAAGGCACAAAAATGCCAGAACGGCATTCTGAGAAATTTCTAAATATTATAGCAAGTAGTAGGGAAGTAAAAAATGACAGCAATACTTACTTTTCTTGTGACTAACTGAATATATTTTGAAGTGCAAGCTCTCAAAAATACTTAGGGGTTCATTCAAAAATGAACACACAATTATATACAATAGTGGTGTATTTTAAAGATGTGCCATCGGAGAACTGCCTACCAGAGTCAAGTGACCACCTCTCCTCCAATCACAGAGCTCTCTCTGCTCCATTATACAGAGAGAACTCCATAGGGCTTCACTGACAGTACATTGCAGCCTGTTTTTTTTTTTTTCTTTTAAGAATGGGATCGGTCCACGATATATGTAGCTCAGCAGTGCATAACATCCATAGATATAAGATAGTACCCCCATATAGAGAGATATCAAGTTTCATCTCATGAGCCCCCCACACAGTTGTCTGTTATATAGCATAGAAAAAACTGGCTTGATAGGGCACAAAAGTCATGCTTGATAAAAGGACCCATAAACTTATGAGAGATTTTGATCATAGCCCCCCATACAAATAGAGTTTAACAGTGATTTGTCATCTGGAGACAGAATGTGCCCTACACATAGTTTTTAATAAAACCCTATGTAAGGACAGTTACAATTCCCTTGATATAATCACTTCAATGATCTCCCTTTGAGAAAGAAGGTAATTCAAGGCAGTGAGTGAATTCATTGGCTATGATCATTGAAATATAGAGTGATTCTTCATTGAAATATAGAGTGATTCTTATCTTTTTCATATCCATGGAAATAAATTTGCAATAACCATTCAATACAAACTCTTAGACATTCCAGGCCCTTTGCTCCATATACACTCCTGCTAATGCTGTCCTTGTTTATTGGCACTGGTCATGCCCACTAACACTGGATTTCAAAGAATATCATATACACTAGCACTACTGCCTTTAATTGCTAGTATTAGGAGATTTGGTGTAAGATTTGGTGATGTCACTGCTGATGACACAGTGGGGGAGATTTACTAAATCTGGTGCTGTTGTGCATTGTAGCCAATCAGCTCCTAACTTCAGCTTGTTTTGGCAATAAAACCTGGAAGCTGATTGGTTTCTATGCAGAGCTGCACCAGATTTTGCACTCCTCCAGTTTTAGTAAATAACCCCCAGTGACATCTACCACTGTGACACAGAGGAGGACAAAGCATGGTAAGCCAGTAATGGGGAAAAGAGGAGCTGCATGGAGACCATAGGCAGCACTGGTCACTAGTCATTTGTCCTCTGCCTGCATTTTTCTGTGCACAGCTTCCAGAGTTTAGCATCTCTTTAATGTCTATGTAATGTCTCTTTTAATGTCCTTTTTCCAATATATAGTACCTCTAGGTAAGTAAGCAGGAGCTTCTTTTGGGCGACAAGCTTTGCGCGATAAATCGTGTGACAATTGCAGCAAAACTGCACTGCTTTTTGGTGCCATTAAAAATGAATAGCACACAAACACACATGCTGTGTTTTACCAGCATTGCAGTGCGATTTGGAATCACGGGCAGAATCTCGGCAGTTCCACCCGCTAGATTTGAGTGGGTTGTAGTGTCTTTAAAATGTAACTGCAGTGTTATTTATTTACAGAAGTTGAAGCTGCTCCTAAATCTGGGTATACGCATTTAGAACCACTGCAGTCCTAAACTTTGGCTTGCAGGTGCTCACTCCTCCATTGTCTTTCTGCCAAACACCATTTAAAAGAGTTCTATGGTCACAGCATACACTTTAATTTTATAACATCAGCATTGCAATAGCAGTACAAACAATAGTTATTTTTGGTAATCCAATACAAAGTTACTTGAAAAATTTTACTTTCATGTGAGTTCTGCCTGTCTGTTGGCCATCTCTTTCCACAACTTCCTGGATTCCAGCATGCTTAGCTGCTTTTTTTCTGCTGTTTGCTTGCTATATCTAAGGACTACATGTCCAATAGTACCTTGCTGTCTGCGAGCAGTAATTCCTGTACTGACTCCACCTCCTACAACTTCTCCTCTCAGCACCTCTGTAGTTTAGAAGGCAGCCTGTGAATTCTTTGACACAGTAGTGGCTATCAACAGGGCATAGTGAATACATGTCACAGAATAAAAAGAAGTAAGTGTATGGGGATCTTCCCAAAGTAAATTTACAAACCTCAAGGTCATTCAAATATATAGAAGTAGGCTATAAAATATTGAAATACATTGTGAAAATGAATAGGATTTAAATTATTGACCATGCCAAAAGGTAAGTCAATTTATTGCTCAGCACATAAACATACACAGACACACTACCGAGGATCTTCTCTTATTGGGCTTCACCATCTATCTCCAGCGCCTCCATCTAAGTATTATACTTACCCTACCCCTGCACCGAAATTTTCACAGCTTGGTACTGCACAGCTTTTACTTTTTTTTTTTTTCTACTTTCAGGTCCCGCTACCCATCTTCTTTTAATCTTGCTGTACTCCGTTGGGAGGAACAGAGTAAAAACTTTCCTTAGGGTTGAATGAAGATTGCAGTGAACAGGATGAGCCAGAGTAGCAAGATGTCATGGAGGCTTGTGACAGTCATCAAAGCCCAATTAAAAGAATGTCCTATATTTTATAAAAAATTGATAAATAATTTTCATGGCATGGATAAAATGGAGAGCTTTATGATTCGTTTACCATAGCACAATTCTGTTCTTAATGTGAAAACTCCAGGCACAAATACTGTACAAAATACAACCATGACCTTCTAAAGTGTTGTGCAAGTTTTATTTTACATGGTTTTATCAGACTAAAACTGACTGCAGCGACTGAATGAATGACTATAGTCAAGCTACCTGTATTTATTTATGTTAACCACTGAATGGATATTCTTATCTTTCAGATGTCCTTAGTGGTATCAACAGATGACTGTGAAATGTGGAAAGAAGAATATGAAAAACTGAAAGCAGAGTGGAGTGAACTTCACAGCAAACACTGTGAACTGGAGAACGACATGAATGTTCTGCAGAGTAAGCTTAAGGTATTTCCCAAAATCTTGTGTGATGACGATAAAGGCTTTGGTATTATAAAACATGGAAGTGCATTCTGCCCCTATAAATAAATATCTTGTAGTGTGGCTGTTTCTACTATATGCATATGGACATGGTTTTCTTTACATTACCTATAGAGCTATCCAGTACCATTTTAATTTGATCTGATAGTGACATTTTATATAAAGATGCCAATTCCTTCAGAACTTACATCACAAACTAATTAATGCTAATCCAGGCTGAAGAGTTGCTTTTATGACTTTAGAACATCTGCTGCTGAATGGAGGAGTTAACATGGGGCAGATATGAATGATAATTGCAAATGAGTATCTTCAGATAACTATATAGGTAGCTCCCTCAACTTGAGGATTTGTGTATTTGTGTATTGCTTGAAAATGATACGGTATAAACTGTAATTCATCTTTTTAACCTTTTGGCTTCCAATGACATATACCATGCCTCATGCTTGCTCCTCTTTTAACTAGCTTATGAAATATGCAATAGCAGCTGTAAGCTTGTTTTAATATTGCCTGAGGTCTTGCTGTGAACTATAGGGCTGATTTAGGCATCCAAAAAGCCACCTGATTACTTCTTAAACCTAAGAAAATAAGTGTCACCTCATCTGACCTTTCACATTTGGGTCCTGCCCTATCCGTTTACCAATGCACAGGATTAATTGCCCTGTTTTCAAATTTAGCATGGCAAGTAGGGAATTTGCTGAATATAACTGACTTGCTGTAAATCCAATAACCATAGAATAGCAGATATTATTGTGCAAGAACAGGATATGAGATGTGAAAGTTGAGGCACCACACTGTGCTAGTTACATAATCACATCCTTGGTGTAAGGAAGGCTTCTATGGGCTTATGAACACAGGAGCAGAGGGCCATATAACATGAAATATGTATTTATGCGCCTTGAGCAGCATGGAGCTGTATGCAGGCAGCCTGTATTTTGTCAAGCAGCTGTACAGACTCAGTCGCATATCCAAATTTGCCAGGCGTGCAGGGACAGTGTGCACCCATCCCGCATACCTCTCAAATTTAGATGTGCAGGAGAGTCTGTACAGCCAGAATGTGTATGAGAAACCCTCAGCGCAATGGACCTCCTACAAAATAAATATTGCAGGTAGAATGTAATGTGTTCCCACATATAAACCATAAATCAAAAAAATGCAGCGCAGTACTATAAACTCAAATACGGTGCTAGTAATATCCAACGTGCATATGTGAATAGTGAAAACAAAAAAATTGGGCTTCATGACAATAATATATGCTATATATCAAATATATATCAACACATATATATAAATACCCATAGAACTGCACATTCCAGTGCTAAATGAATGTTGTATGCAAATACCAGATGAACCGTACAAAGTAGTGAACTGTCCCTTTAACACTCCAATATGTGCTTGTGTGGTATGTTTTCTTGTGTATTGTGTTCCAAATATATCATCAACAAGTGTCCCAAAATTATGGTCTCAAAATAATGGTGAACCGTCCCTTTAAATCTGCTGTGCTCCAAGTGGGTCTGTGTGATCACACTACTGCATACACATATACGGTGCTCCTGTGTCACCCCTTAGTGCTTATCCACCTCTGATACATTATTACGCTCACCTTCAAGTTTGACCCCTATTTTCAGGTCAAACAACGCTTTTCCCTTTAACCCGGAGTGGAATTCCTTTTGTTTCTGGTCAGGCTCTGCATCCTGGCCATTGTGCAATAGAACATTGTGCAGAGAGAACACTATTTGCCAACATTGTGCAACAGACCACACAAAAACCAAAATTTATTGTGGCTTTCAGTTTCCTTCTCCACGACAGTCAGGCCATGAATGAGCAAAGATATTTCTTGAGGTCCAAAATGACAGCTGATAATACACTTTAGGCTGCAGTAGTGCAGAGGTCTGTCATCTTGGATATATACATTTATAAAGTGCAGCGCTAAAAAATGTCAATAATAAATGAAAGTATTTCAAATAATCATAAAGTGACAGTTTGTGCAGATCTGGGTAGAGATAGTAACAATCGTGATCCTGTGTCGGTGCTGCCAAAGTGATATGGTAAGAGTGCGCACTCACCAGATATGCAATGTTAATGCGCATTAAAGCAGTAATTGTCCCCTCTAGGTGTTGGATGTGGTCCTGTACAGGGAAGATCCTCCCTCTGCATGTAGGTGGTGCTGTAGGAGCTCTCAGAAGGAGATGAAACCAGGCAGCCAGAGGCCCCTTTAAGGGGTGGATGGATATGGAAGCCTATAAGACAGGATCTCCTCTCTGGATGATTACACAGCACTGGATTCGAGTGGCTCTGAAAATTAGTTGCTCCACATAGGAAGCCAAAGAATAGTGCCCATAGTGTAGTATTTCAATGTTGTAGAAGTTTATTATAGCATATATAAACAGCAGGATGGACTGACCGTCCAGATACCAAGATGGCGCCTCCACGCCGCTGCAGCCACGTGGCGGCCCGGCGACCATCTTGGTATCTGGACGGTCAGTCCATCACATTGTTGTTATTGCTGTTTTTACTTGCCCTTATCCTGCTGTTTATATATGCCCTTTATACTGCCCTTTTATGCACACATACACACATATACACACATACCCTTTTATACTGTTTTTACTTGCCCTTATCCTGCTGTTTATATATGCTATAATAAACTTCTACAACATTGAAATACTACACTATGGAGCACTATTCTTTGGCTTCCTATGTGGAGCAACTAATTTTCAGAGCCACTTGGATCCAATGCTGTGTAATCATCCAGAGAAGAGATCCTGTATTATAGGCTTACATATATGCAGTGGCTCTGAAAATTAGTTGCTCCATATAGGAAGCCAAAGAATAGTGCCCATAGTGTAGTATTTTAATGTTGTAGAAGTTTATTATAGCATATATAAAACAGCAGGATAAGGGCAAGTAAAAACAGCAATGTGATGGACTGACCGTCCAGATACCAAGATGGCCGCTTCCACGCTGCTGGAGCCATGTGGTGGAAGCCCGGCGACTTGGATCCAATGCTGTGTAATCATACAGAGAGGAGATCCTGTCTTATAGGCTTCTATATCCATCCACCCCTTAAAGGGGCCTCCGGCTGCCTGGTTTCTTCTCCTTCTGAGAGCTCCTACAGCACCACCTACATGCAGAGGGAGGATTTTACCCTGTCCAGGACCACATCCAACACCTAGAGGGGACCATTCCTGCTTTAATGCTCATTAACATTGTGTATCTGGTGAGTGCGCAATCTTACCATATCACTTTGGGAACACCGACACAGGATCGCGATGGTTACTATCTCCACCCAGATCTGCACGAACTGTCACTTTATGATTATTTGAAATACTTTCATTTATTATTGACATTTTAGTGCTGCACTTTTATATATTTATTTGATTGATGAAGGTTCTATATTGGTTACCTTTGGTACATTAGCTGCTGTTTTAGAGCGCTCACTTTTACATCTTTATTCATCTTGGATATGTGCTGAATCATCTTCCACAGTTGTAAATCATGCTTAGTAAGCTCAGGTAAGATGTGCCCCAGTTGTGAGTATGGGCTCTTGCTTGAAGGCAGGAAGTGTCCAGTCTTCCCCATGATTGCAGTTTGACACATACACACGCTGTATCAAAGACATCTTTTATATGTGCTCTAAACCACATTAAGAATTTTACATGTATTTATTGAATATACGTGAGGGATAGGGGGAGCATGCACGCCACAGAAAATGTGAAGAGAAAAAAAAAAACACACTTAATGATGTGCCAGAGGTGAGCCTGTTGCGCACCCCCCCACCTCACTCTGGTGACATCTAAACAGCTGAGGGATTATTTATTAAAATTCTAGCTAAAAATAGCAGTTGTAGCAGAGTGTCCAAATGCATTTCACACCATAGTGCTTTATCATAAGGTGTTATAAGTAGTTTATAGTGATTTTTTTGAAAGTTTAAAACTGATGTGTGGTTTACTTTTAGTTTCTCTTTAAAAATGTAATTCCAAAAATGGGAGCACTCCATTTCCTTTTGTTAAGACTAATATCCTGTCATTTGCATTCTCATGTAGTGGATTTGTTATTCCAAATATGAAATGATCTTTTTAGCAAGCCACGTATGTCACTCAGTGATGATGATTTTTTTTTTTTTTCTAGCGAACGGTTGAGAGATGGTATCATAGAGGTCTATAGGGAGTGACTGATCAGGCATAGGCAGGGAAAGACAGAGTGGCTCTTCTTTATTATTACCAAATCATTATTACCTTATGTTCCTAATGACCTAAAGTCTTACGACAGTCACACTGATCTCAGATACAGCATATTCGATTAGACTTAAGAGTTAAACTTCTTAAGGACAATGTTGGTTGTGTAGTTACAATATGCTAATTACTTTATTTAGGTGGAACAGTATTTTTGAATATTGCATTAATACTAATATATAACATTCATTTTCCCTTTATTTACATTATTCACTTGTAAGAAAACTCATGTCCTTGGCACTAAATGTATGTTCTGAGAGGAATGCTTTGATTGCCTATCGACTCGATGCACATAGAATTCTATGGGGCTGTATACATATGGTGTATAGAGAATGACTTAGGAACTGCAGCCATTAAAAGGAAGAGTTCAGCCAAAGGTTGTGAAGATTTGTAGGATGAGGCCCTCTGATCTGATGTAAAAGTATGCACCTGGAGTACAAGAGGGATAACTGTTCTTTTACTGGATGTACAGTCATCCTTTTAACATTGGTTTTACCTACACCACAGACATGGAATCAAAAATTTTGTCCATGTATCTGCTGTCTTAGATATTATAGTAATATTTCTTATGTTGTGATGATTGTGTCTAATTTCAGTGGGTTACAAATCAAGAAGTACAACTTCAGCAGCTTCAAAATCGCATACTTAGTCTGGAGCAAGATAGAAGTGAACTTCAGGCCTGTAATGAGCAGTTGCAGGAGGACTGTGAGATCCAGAAGGAGCAACTGAGTTCTTTACAAGGTTATTATAAATTTGAAAAAGTCCAGTACCATGTACTTTACCAAAGCACGCTGACACACTTGAATGGTGCTGCAAATGCATCTGCACACAGTAAACAATTAGGTCACTTTCACATCTCAGCATTTAAGACTGCAGTCAGGGCTGCTGTTAGAAGTCAATGGGCCCCATACAGCCTACCTGACAGGGCCCCCTTCCTTCAAAGCAATATTTTTGTTATAAATAGACTAATGTCATTAGGGCAATAAAACACACAAAGTCCATTATGCTACACTTTAATGCAGTGTGCCATTTTTTATGTATTTCTTTTGGACAAGAACAGGCAAAGCAGGCACTTTAATGCAGGCCATAAATCCAAGGCATTAAAACCCACAATACGGCATGCATTTTTCCAGGCAAAGTGTGAATCCAACCTTAAAGTAAAGCTTTGCTTTGTCCAAGCAAGGGACTCACTTAAAGCAGACCTTTGCACCCTTTTAATAAATCTGACTAGTACAATACAACATAATGTTAGTAGTAGATCTGAACCTCCTTCATGCACTGTTTCCCAGTCTCTGTGGTCTATCCCCCCATCAGTGGACCACGCCATCATAAATTTAAAAAAAAAGTCAGCATTTGGCCCTCCAGTGACATTTGCTTCTCATATCGCTCATTTGCCATACCATATTACACTCATATGTTAACATTTATAGAAAAGAAAATACCTTTCCCAATGCAGGTCTCTAAGATTTTGCAAAATCTTACAATTACTCAAAATTTTTTTCAGTGTAATGTCACATGGGTGAGATGGCAGTTTAGAAACAGTATATCCCTGGAAAGCAATGTTGATGTAGCCTTCCTCAGGGCCGTCCTTAACACAGGGTAAAAGGGGAAGCTGCCGTGGGCCCAGTGGGAGCGGGTACCTGTTAAATTCTGAAACCCACTCCCCAAAGGTGCCAATCCTTAATGAGGAGCGGGGGACAAAGCATTAAAGTGGAACTCCACTTTAAGTGCATCAGTTTTCCCCCTGCCAATATCTGGCACAGGTCAAGTGTTCCCTCTAATGCCCCCCAACTTTAGCTCAGTCTCAGTGCAGTGAGTCTCTTCCCCAGACACCTGCTGCACCCCTCACCCTGCCTGAGTTCTTCTGCGGGCGGCTGCCGGGTGACTCCACTCCACTGCCAGGTGAGTGGTGTGTGTCCCTCTGTGACAATGTGTCCAACCCCGAGCCCGGCTCCCACTCCCCCCCTTCTGACAACTTTACTGCAGAACTTCATGGCGAGGGAAGGACAGGGCTGCTGAATGCTGTAGTTTGGGATAGCAACTGGGAGCTCGGAGCTCTGGGGTTCACTCCCCTTCTCCCCCCCCCCCCCCACACATTTCACAGCCATTGCTCCATAGCACAATTTGGAGGAGGAGCAGTGCTTGTGAAGGCTGGCAACCAGGATTGACCAACCTCCACCTCTCCACCCTAAGCAATAACCACCTCTCCATCTTAAGTAATAACCCCCCCCCCCCCACCTCTTCACCCTAAACAAAAACCCCCCCTTCCCACCCTCAACAGCAACCCCACCTCTCCACCCTCAACAACAACCCACCTCTTCACCCTACACAATAACCCCACCTCCCCTCCTCTCCACCCTCAGCAATGACCCCCTCCCCACTTCTCAACCCTAAACAATAACTCCTCTCTCTGCCTCTCCACCTTCAACAATAAATCCCCTCTCCGCCTCTCCATCCTCAACAAATACCATCCTCCCCGCCTCCACCCTCAACAATAACCCCTCTCCCTGCCTCTCCTTTGGTCCTGTGTAATGATGGGGGTAGTCTGGGGAGAGGGAGGCTTGTGTAATGATGGAAGGGATCAGGGGGCAGGGATCCCCAGGGATGATGGGGGCAGGGATCCTGTGTAATGATGAGAGTAGTCTGGGGAAAGGGGCTTGTGTAAGGATGGGTGCAGTGTGAGGGGAGTCCTGTGTAATGATGGGGATGCAAAAATGCATATTAAGGGGGGGGGGGGGGGGGGGGGGGGGTGCCAAGAAAATGTTTGCCCAGGGTCCAATCAATAAATCAATATTAAAGACAGCCCTGGCCTTCGTAGGGTGAAAATGACAGTTTAGAAATGAGATGTCCCTGGCAGGCACTATTGATGTAGCCCTGACTGTGTCACCAGTACTTCATTATACCAGGAGTTGGTGGTTTAAAAGGGAGGTTTACAGTTAAAACTTTGAATTTTGATGTGACATTATACTCCACTGAATATTTTTTTCAGTACAGCTTTTTCTTTATTTGTGGCAAAAATGCAAGTGTGGACAGGCCTAGGTTGCTGATTTATGCTGGCCTATCTCAGGGAGGAAAATTATCTTAAATAGAAGTTCCTAGAAGGGTCAGCAAAACTGAGACCTGCTTAGGGCATGAACATGGATTAGCAAAGTGTAGATTAGTGACCTGAGATTTGTAATTTTCACCAATTGGTGCCAATTAAAAATCCCAGGCCACTAATTTACCTTTTGGATACCATTATATCAGTATGTAGCACCTTGAAACTATTTTAGGTTTAATTAAGACTATCAATTAACATGAATGTTTAATTAAACCAAAAGATTTCTGTGAAGGCCCCTCATTTTATCTCACGTCACTAATGTCTGTGCTTATTTGACTAAGTAAAGTTTTGTACAGTGTTGTAATTTTCACCTTTTATGTTTCGATCCAGAAGACAAAGAAATGTGTGTATCATCTATCAAAGATTGACACATCGATAACCACTATGTTTCCTCTCTTTAGCTAGATTACAGAATGCAGAAGAGCAGAAATTACTGAAGCAGATACAGATCAATAGTTTACAAAGTAAGTTTCCAGTCATTTGTACTCATATTCAACTAATATGTTAAGTTGTGTCCTGAAGCTGACTTCTGGCAGATCTAGCTGCCTGATACGTTCCATTCTTAGCAGCAATGTTGCAGATTTGCAATCCAAATAGTTCAGTATTCAAGATGATACTCCAGGGCATTCATAAGAATTGTATTGTGCCTTTGCACAACAAATATCGGCACAGATTAAAAATCTCTTGTAGCTGTTGGAAACCGCAGTACTGCAGTATGTGGAGGCAGACTGAGTTCTCTTCCTGCTGCTACACCTGCACACATATTTAAAGTGGTTCTAAAGGCAGAAGGTTTTTTACCTTCATGCATTCTGTGTATGAAGGTAAAAAACCTCGGGTGCTGCTTTCCCCACAGCCCCCCCCTAATACTTACCTGGGCCACCTCTTGATCCAGCAATGTGCATGAGAGCCTTGGCTTCCCTGGGACTCCCTCTCCTCATTGGCTCCCAATGCTGTCAATCACAGCCAGTTAGCAACTGATAAGAGAGTAGGGGTTGTCGCTGAGCTGCAGCTCTATGTGTCTTATGGAGACAGAGCTGGGCTTGAGCATGATCATACATCAGTGCTCCCATAGTAGGAGGCTTGCTGTTGGGGGCACTGGTCAAGGGTTAATATCACTTTAATTAAACCATATACAAGTAGGAATGATACATAAAGGCTCATATCTAGTGCTCATTGAAGATTGACAGATTTCAGAAAATAGTTCATATTTGTCTAATTATTTAACATAGCTTGTTCTAAGAAGGAATATCACACAATTGCTTTTGAAACAGAAAGTCCTTAGGAAACTAACAGGAAAATAATTAAATTTTGAAAAAAACAAATATTAAGCCACTGATAAACAGTTCTCTCAATACCGTGTAAATGTTTAAATATCTAAGATCTTAAAGTGGCATTAAACTCAAAAACTTAACATAATGTAGCAGACTAATACTTAAATGAAGTGGCTGTATTTGTTTCCTTTGTTAGTTTTTTTTTTCCTTTATTTTCACCTTGTGATCTGGCTAGTAACACATGTCCTGTATTAGGGTGGCTCTACTCTGGCTGGAGGAGCAATGGGGACACCTTTGAACAGCAACATCATCAGTCTCTGGAGAGAAGGAAGCATTAGATATAGATTTGAACAGACGTGACCAACAAATTAAAGCCAAAAACTCTGCTAAATGCTTTTTAAGCAGCTACAGCAACAGCATTTATCTTCTTTTCTGGATAAAGAGAGCTCTCACACTGTTCCAGTGCAGTTTGATTGCACAGCAGCTAAAGACGCAGCATGCAGGAGTTTTGGTGTGCGTTCAGAAAGTGCACCAAAACCATAGGACAGAATGCAATTCTAAGGAAGAGCGCATCTAACCCGCACGAAACCAACAGATAAGCTGCACTGCACTCAGTGTGGTCAAACTGCACTGGAACAATGTAAAAGTGCTTTAAATTATTTAAATTAAAAAAATAAATAAATCCATAAAAAACATGTCATACTTACCTGCTCTGTGCAGAGGTTTTGCACAGAGCAGCCCTGATCCTTCTTCTCGAGTCCCTTGCCAGCACCTCACTCCTGCCTAGTGCCCCCAGAGTAAGCAGCTTGCTATGGGAGCACCCAAGCAGGCTTGTACCTGAGCTGCTGCTCTGTGTGTCCATTCACACACATGCACAGCCACAGCTCGGCCCTGCCCCCTCTCTCCTCATTGGCTTACTGGCTGTGATTGACAACAGCGGGAGCCAATGTCTCAGCCAATGAGGGAGAGTCCTCCTCTGAGAGCCAAAGCTTTCGTGCCTATCGCTGGATTGAGGTGGGACTCAGGTAAGTATTAGAGGGGCTGCTGCACACAGAATTTTTTTTACCTTCATGCATAGAAAGGTAGAAAAACTTTGAGCCTTTAACCACTTTAAAGGAAATTGAAAAACAAGACTTGCTGGCTTGCAGTAGAAGAAAGGGAAAAAAAGGAAACTAATGCAGTTACAACATCTAAGAACTAATAAAGTGTGATATATTCCATTTTTTTTTTAGGTTTAATACCACTTTACCTACTGCATTAAATGCAAATATATTCTACCACATTTTAGTATTCTCAGCAGCCTTGTACTAGAGAAAAAAAAAACTTTAAAGTGAATTTAAAAATTATCTGCATTTATTAAATAGGAAAAACTACTTTTTGCATCTCTTCATTAGCTGTGACACCCAACATATTCATAACTGAAATCTGTATTTTTTTGTCAAAAGTTTTTATTGAAACGCTGAGTAGCAGAAACAGCTGATCGCCCGCGCAGGGGTGTGCCGTACAATAAACCACCAATAAAGGGGTGTAACAGGTGATGATCAAAACATTTGAAGAACATTATTAGCAATATAATACCGCCTAGAGGCCAAGGCTCAATTACGGCTTCCATGGTTCAGGAGCAATGCCCAAGTGATCAAACAGTAGGTACTAGCAGTAAAACAATGGCGTTTCATTTAACCTGAGAAAAGAGGTAGAGAAGGAAAGAGAAAAGAGAAGAGAAATAAACAATCAGAAATCAAGGAGGAAGAAAGATAGAATTTTTCTCCCGCAGCCCCGAGAGACCGCAAAAATTAGTGAGTACCCAAACCCAATGGAGATAGATTGGGAAACTCGTACGTCCACCAAGGACGCCAGATCTTCAAGAATTTAGCATGGGTATCATTAACAATACTGGTCATTTTTTCATGTAAAATCAGGATGGTTAAAGTAGGCTTAACCTTACAGAAAGGGACAGAGGGTGATCTCCAAGCCTTGGCAATAACCTGTTTATCGGCAATAAAGACATATGTGGCAAGCTTCTGTTGGTGCTCAAACAAATCCATAACTGGGCAGTGAAGTAATGCCACTTTCGCATCTCATCTTTCGGAATGAGGACATGAAAGATAGAGTATAGAAGGCCGAAAACTCTGGATGAGGACATGACCACCAAATGTGGAGTACATCAGCACACATTCCACAGCCACAGAAGCATCTATTTGGAAAGTTGGGATTGGCGCATGCAATGCGAGCACGCACTTAATACCAACGCAATAGAACTTTATAGGCAGCCTTTATAGTTGTCATATTGAAAGAGCAATGGGATATAATCAACCATGCTTTACTCCATTCAGCTGGATCTATGGATGCTCCCAGGTCCCTCTCCCAATGTGAAACATAAGACAGAGAAGAAGAAGAAGCAGAGTTAAGTGCAGAGTAAAGAAGGGAATTAAAGCCTGGGGAGCCTGGAGACGTGCAACAGAGATGCTCAAATGCCAATGACCTATAGGGAAACACGGAGGTACTTCTAAGAGAAAATACCCAGTGACTCAGTTGGAGATAGCAATAAAATTCAGTCCAGGGGACCTGATAAGCTTCTTGTATGGAAGCCCAAGAGGGGAACATTCATGAAGAAAGAAAATGACAAACCTAAGACTGTGGTCGGACCACCACTTGAAGGCGGTCGGCTGATCCAATCCGGGTGGAAAAAGGGGGTTATTAAACAAGGACATTAGGGGTAGGTGTGGAGACATGAGGCCACCTGAAAACCTGAGTCCCAGATCTTCATATTGTGTAACATAAGAGGGCTTAGTGTAGCGGTGCGGAGTTTGAGGGAGCCACAGCAGGGTCTTGACTTGGACCGTGGCACAGTTAGGGAATTCCAAAAGAGTCCAAAGTGGAATATGAGACGTCGTAAACAGTAAAGTAAGCGGGGCTGAGCGGCCTGGTAATATTTAACAATATTCGGAACCCCTAAGCCCCCTTTAAGTCTATGAGAGAACATAGTAAAGCGTGAGACCCTCGGTCGCTTACAGGCCCAAATGAAAGAAAGGATCTTATTTTGTAATAGACGCAGGAAGAAGGAAGGGACAGGAATAGGCATGAAAAAAATAAAGGATTTTAGGAAGTATAGTCATTTTTATGGCATGTATACGACCAATCCATGATAGTGAGGGGAATTGCCATGATTGCAGAAAGGAAGTAATAGTACGCAAAAGGAGGTAGTATTTAGAATAGGAAAAGGTCACTGTTAATTTAATTCCTAAATTATCAATAGAAGAGGTCGCCCAAGGATAAGGGGAATATTGTTGATGTGAAACTGAAGAAGAGGATAAAGAGACGTTAAGTGCTGTTGTTTTGTGGGGATTGATCTGTAGACCGGAAATAGCGGAAAATTGAGAAAGTAAGCGTTGCAAGTTTGGTAGGGAAGTCAGAGGATTTGTCAAGGTTAAAAGCGCATCGTCTGCAAATAGGTTCACTTTATATTGATGGCCCGCATAAGGGATGCCGGTAATATTGTCATCTGAGCGCAAAGCGATTGCTAAAGGTTCAAGGGCTAAAACAAGTAAAACGGGATAAAGGGCAACCCTGGCTAGTGCCTCGTAGAATTGGAAAAGGATCTGACAGCAAGTTGGCATATTTCAAACAGGCAGACAGGGAAGAATAAAGGACCATGATCCAAGATAAAATGTGGTCTCCAAAACCCCAGCGTTGCAGAGCATAGCGCAGGTAATCCCAGGAAAGAGAGTCTTGTATATATATCAAGTGATAAAAGAAATCCTGGGATCTTCCGGCTATTCAAAACATGTATCGGATGGATCACTTTCCTCACGTTGTCCCCCATCTGCCGGCCCAGAACAAACCCCCACCTGGTCTCTATGGATGAACTGTCAAAGATATCGGTTTATACGGACACACAAAATCTTCCCTAGAATCTTCACATCTTCATTCAGTAAAGAAATTGGACGAAAGTAACGGGGGTCTGAACTATCTTCTGAAGACTTGGGAATAATAGTAATATGGACTCTCAAGGCCTCAGGGGCGGGTACCAAGCCTGTTTTCAGTTCGTTAAAATAGGCTGCTAAATGGAGAGCCAAAATCGACATGAATTTCCGGTAGTACAAACCTGGAGCTTTGGAAGAATGGATTGACTCGATAGCCTGAAGAACCTCTAGAACAGATATAATCAGCCTGTAAAGAATCCTTAGCAGAGTCGATCAAAGTCAGGAGATTAAGGTCCTGGAAAAAGCAAAGAGGACAAGAATTTGGAAAACAATGCTACAACCTTGGTGGGGTCTGAAGGCGGTTGGCCTGCAGGAGAAAGCGCTCGAAAAGGTTTATAGAGACGGCGGCGGCCATTTAGCTTGCTGGCCAACATCAGGCCCGGCTTGTTTGCACAAGTTAAATATTTGTTTTGGACCATCTCAAAGCTTTCTCGGCCTGATCAGTGGCCAATAAGTCAAGATCTGTCACCAAAGCATCTCGACGTTGCCGATTGCAATTTGGGGGGGTTCGCTTTTTAAAGGGCATCGGCTTCGGCGAGACGTCGCATTAAGTTTGTATTTCTTGGCACGTTTTTTCGCTGAAGCAATCTGTACTAGATGACCGCGGAGGGTAAATTTATGGGACTCCCACAACGGTATCACAGATGAAACTGAGCCAACATTGTCAGTGAAATAAGCTTGTAGGCAGCTTTGAATTTCCGTCTGAGTCTTGAGATGTTAGAAGAGAGTCATTAAGTTCGACCTCCCTTTCATTAAGTGAAAGGGAGGTCGAACTAGACCTAAGAGGGCAAAAAGAAAAAATGGAGGATCGTGGTCCGAGAATGCCAGCAAAGCTGGAATGGTGAATCTACTGGCAAGGGGAAGAAGTCTTAAGGGAATGAACTCATGGTTGATTCTACATTGGCTCTTATGGGGATGAGAGTAGAAAGTATTATTCATGGCCCCTGGGGTGAAGTTCTCTCCAGGCATCTAACAAACCATAAGAATTGAGCAAGGTTTTGAATTTGGGCTTCTAAGTTTGGGTCATGGGTGGGTTTTGAACCTGGAGCATAAAGTCGGTCCTCAGAAGAGTTGAGGGTCAGATTCAAGTCTCCCTTAAGTAAGAGCGTACCTCCGGTGTGTTGAGACACTACCCAGAAAAGGTGAGAAAAAAAAATTTGGTTTTGAAACGGTTAGGTGCATAGTAGGTCGCTATGGTCAACTCTTGACAATTAAGGAGACACCGGAGGAGCAGTGAAATCTGTATTTCTAAGATGAATGCACAGTATCTTTCTTGGTGTATGCTGACCGTTATAGGTGATATAAGCTTACATACATTTATTGTTCTAATCTAGATTTGTTGCCTATATATAAATGACAAAGCCTTGTATTTGTTAAGGTGTATCCATTCTTGTTAGACTAGCATAATAGGGGCATGGAAGGGATTTGTATCTAAAAATTCACCTAAATTCTCTTCGAACACTTATGAAAATTGCACTGGATACTAAGAAAGATCTAATTTCAAAATAAATCAGGAAAATGTATTTAGGGCCAGTACACTCAGGTGTTAAGAGGCATTGTAGTACTGTGTAGTACATTCCTACTGTGCACTTTGAAGGCAAATATAGCTGAGCTGCATTGTGACTAGTTGGCCCAATGTAATTATGTATTGTGTTAGGTGAAGCCAGAAAAAAAAAAATTACAGCCTCCTTTGGCATAGTTGTGCAGTGCTAGACAACTGGCCCAACCCAACATACTGAACACTGGATGATTGTTCACATTGTTCAAGTTTGTATGAGGGTTATGTGAAGGATTTATTCTGGCTTACGTCTCCAAATAGATAAAAGCCTTTAAAGCTAAACCACGCATACCCAGTTTTTTCTTTTTTTTGTTTGCTTGTTTTTTAAGGTAAGAATACTTTAGATATGAAATCTACTTGACATTTCACAGAGTGCACTCCGCTATTAACATAATTAAACACATACATACTGGACAGTATTTATAAAAACAAAACATTAATTCTGAGTGGGCACAGGATAAAAAGTTATAAAAAGGCATTTCCTGTTCTAGTCAAATGTGTTTCAATTATGGAAAATTCTGCAACTAGCCACTAGATCAGCAATGGGCAAACTACAGCCCGGCGGACCTTTTTAATCTGGCCCGCGGAGCTAGGCTCCCGCTAGGCTCCTCTCACAGTCCGCCCTGAAGACCGGTGTAGCATGAAAATCTGTCTCCTATGAGGATCTGTCCCCCTCGACGTATCTGCGCATGTGCCGGAGATCGCCGATCGGCTGCTAATGCCTGAAACTGGCACATGCGCAGATACGTCGAGGGGGACAGATCCTCATAGGAGACAGATTTTCACGCTACACTGGAACGGCGCGGGAACACGGCGAGAGGAACGCGCGGAACAAAGGTAAGTGAATTGACACAGGGGGGACTTGGGGACTTAATATGGGGGATGAATATGGGGAATGAATTACTATGGGGGGGGATGAATTACTATGGGGGGGATGAATTACTATATACTATGGGGGATGAATTACTATATGGGGGATTAATTACTATGCTTACTATGGGGGAATATTACTATACTTACTATGGATGACACATACACATCATTCATCTACTCTTGGTCCGGCCCCCGGGTCCAATATATGAACCCATTGCGGCCCTCAAGTCAAAAAGTTTGCCCACCCCTGCACTAGATGAAACTTCCCATACTTAGTGCCATCTAGTGGCCAAATGTGGTATTTGCAGTTTTAAATTAAATGAATGAGAAATATTCAATTAGCAGAGGAAATGGCTTAACCATGTGTTTTTCTTTTTTTACCCTCTTCGCACAGAACAAATGTACTGGTACTTTTACTCAGCAAATTCATATGCAAATTTTTATATTTACACCCCTAAGTATTAGAAATCTCTCAATCGGAATCTTTTAAAAACTGTGCAATTTATATCTACCAAAAACCATGTACTGCAATATGATTAAAAACGAATTTATTCATTTATATAGGCAGGTGATCACACTATTTTGTTTTGGTAAATCTAAGAGTTTGTACACGATTTGTTAGCAGGTATACCAGCTGTAAACACAGAAGTCACTTTGTATGACCATCACAAACAACAGTCTTGGTTACGACTGGTGGTTTTAATATGCAAGTGATTTTATATAGCAAAATGAGCATAGCTGCATTCTCATATTATGATGTGGCAAACAGTACCGTTTTCCTATTTTAAAGGAGACATGTAATTTCAGTCTAAATGGAAAAAATACTTTTCTTCTTTTCCCAGAGGGACTTGCAGGACTGGAGCAAAAAAGCAGTTCATACATTACATCAAACACAGGAATAGTGCATTTTCGGGAAACACCTGATGGAGCATTGCAGAATGACTGCCTTCATTCTATTATGGAGAAGCTAACGTCAAAAGAGGAAGAAGTAAATACCTTTATTGGTCTGATTACTTTTCTCCCGTTTGCTTTTTTGGAGATCATTTTTCGGAGTCTCCTAAATTGTATAACTGCCACTGTGAACTGGTTAGTAGTTAAAAAAAAAAAAAAACCTTAAGGATTTGCATAGGAGTAATTCTATTTTTTCAAAATTTTTAATGAACTACCATTTGTTTCACCAAACAGTTGCTAGACATGTATTGGCAGGTTGTGCTTTGTCTATGCTAGTGAAGTACCGTACATTGTGCTCCAGACAAACACAAAATATAATGTAACTGTAATGCACAGCTCAGTGTATTGAATCACGGTGCTCTCAAGCAAGAGGTGATAAGGGGCAGAGATACAGTGGGGCAAAAAAAGTATTTAGTCAGCCACCAATTGTGCAAGTTCTCCCACTTAAAAAGATGAGAGAGGCCTGTAATTGGCATCATAGGTAGACCTCAACTATGAGAGACAAAATGAGAAAAAAAATCCAGACAATCACATTGGCTGATTTGGAAAGCATTTATTTGCAAATTATGTTGGAAAATAAGTATTTGGTCAATATCAAAAGTTCATCTCAATACTTTGTTATATATCCTTTGTTGGCAATGACAGAGGTCAAACGTTTCCTGTAAGTCTTCACAAGGTTGGCACACACTGTTGCTGGTATGTTGGCCCATTCCTCCATGCAGATCTCCTCTAGAGCAGTGATGTTTTGGGGCTGTCGCTGGGCAACACGGACTTTCAACTCCCTCCAAAGGTTTTCTATGGGGTTGAGATCTGGAGACTGGCTAGGCCACTCCAGGACCTTAAAATGCTTCTTAAAAAGCCACTCATTCGTTGCCCGGGCGGTATGTTTGGGATCATTGTCATGTTGGAAGACCCAGCCACGTTTCATCTTCAATACCCTTGCTGATGGAAAGAGGTTTGCACTCAAAATCGCACGATACATGGCCCCATTCATTCTGTCCTGTACATGGATCAGTCGTCCTGGTCCCTTTGCGGAGAAACAGCCCCAAAGCATGATGTTGCCACCCCCATGCTTCACAGTAGGTATGGTGTTCTTTGGATGCAACTCAGCATTCTCTCTCTTCCAAACACTACGAGTTGTGTTTCTACCAAACAGTTCTATTTTGGTTTCATCTGACCATATGACATTCTCCCAATCCTCTTCTGGATCATCCAAATGCTCTCTAGCAAACTTCAGACGGGCCCGGACATGTACTGGCTTAAGCAGGGGGACACGTCTGGCACTGCAGGATCTGAGTCCCTGGCGGCGTAGTGTGTTACTGATGGTAGCCTTTGTTACATTGGTCCCAGCTCTCTGCAGGTCATTCACTAGGTCCCCCCGTGTGGTCCTGGGATTTTTGCTCACCGTTCTTGTGATCATTTTGACCCCACGGGGTGAGATGTTGTGTGGAGCCCCAGATCGAGGGAGATTATCAGTGGTCTTGTATGTCTTCCATTTTCTAATTATTGCTCCCACAGTTGATTTGTTCACACCAAGCTGCTTGCCTATTGCAGATTCAGTCTTTCCCAGCCTGGTGCAGGTCTACAATTTTGTTTCTGGTGTCTTTGGTCTTCTCTATAGTGGAGTTTGGAGTGTGTGACTGCTTGAGGTTGTGGACAGGTGTCTTTTATACTGATAACAAGTTCAAACAGGTGCCATTGATACAGATAATGAGTGCAGGACAGAGGAGCCTCTTAAAGAAGAAGGTACAGGTCTGTGGGAGCCAGAAATCTTGCTTGTTTGTAGGTGATCAAATACTTATTTTCCACCATAATTTGCAAATAAATTCTTTCTAAATCAGCCAATGTGATTGTCTGGATTTTTATTCTCATTTTGTCTCTCATAGTTGAGGTCTACCTATGATGCCAATTACAGGCCTCTCTCATCTTTTTAAGTGGGAGAACTTGCACAATAGGTGGCTGACTAAATACTTTTTTGCCCCACTGTATATCTACCTATCCTTGGGATCTCTAGCACCTATTCTAATGAAAAGTGTGACTTAGCAAATGGCACACCACCACTAAAATAATTTCCACCTTCTCTGTACTGAAGGGGAAAGACCAACCTGTCTGGACCTTCCCTACTGCAGAGATCACATAACCCCATTCCTAAGCTTTTGGTCATAAGACCACCTTATAAAGAGCCTTAAAGATATTTTCAAGGGACAGCAAGTCAGTACTCTAGCCTATTAGGCCTGTTTCACACAGGGGTACAGCCATGCAAAGGGCCATGTTTTCTCACACGGGATGCACAGATATTCAGTGCATAGGCAGTCTTATTCATGTCTACTGGGACGCAGCATCTGTGCCAACACGAACTCTGCTCCTGATTTGACATCCATGTGGATTCAGATACGTGTTGAACACAGAAAGTGTGAGTTCAGAGACATGTCCCCTCCTGCAACCACAAGGATATCCAGTTGGAAGCAGCAACTGTGGGCAGCCACTGCATCCAAACAGACATGAATAGGACTGCCTGCATGCGAATACACGGAATGCCTATGCATCCCAAGTGGGCAAACATGGCTGTTCGCACGGCTGTACTCTTTAAGTGAACTAAGCCCCACCCTCTATATTCTTTGGAACCAGACTGTTATTTTAGCTTTATATTAATGTGAGTATAGGTTCACTAATGATACTGTTGTGTGTGTGTCAGTGTACAGGTTTAAAGGCAGAAGTTGATTTAATTACAGAAGAATACAAGTCATGTCAACGAAAACTGCAACAGTGCAGGGAGGAACTGAAGGGAAATCACAGGCGGAAACCCAAGGTATTCTATCTCCAAAGGAAAGCATTAAGTTTAATTGCCAATGTTGAGGTTATGTCATTGTTTTTAAGAAATCAAATGCAGGAGAGACAGGTTTTAATACAAGTGACACTATCTTTATTCTGTTTAAAGTGTAACTGCATACAAATTCATATAGTAGAAATGACTACAGGGTATATAAAAAGTTCTCTGTAAGCTCCTCTGTGTCCCTGGGCTACTACTCCAGTTATTGCCCCTTGCTCCCTTTCAGTAATATTTTGTCAGGGGGTAAGTGTGGAAATCAGACCCTCTGAGATCAAGGGTCATGTGGGAAGTACACAAAATTTTAAAGTATAACTAACTAAAAGGCAAAACATTTTATTTTTTTTTAGTTTTGGATAGAGTGGAGATGGATTAGAACAATTGTCAGTTCATATTGCTGTCTGTGTCACCCTCTCTATTTGTCCTGGTTACCATTATCATTGAAAGTAAAAGAAAGCCACACATTTTGGCTTGTCCCTAGAAATGTAATACAGGGGAAATCTCCCAATGAGGACACTAGTTCTGGTAACCTGGGGGTCCCCGAGGAATCCCCTTTCACTTTTTGTTTGGCTATAGGACAGGTAGTGAAGAGAAATCTCTGAAATGTGCCACAGATGTTAAAAAAAATAAATAAATAAATAATATGGCAGGTTATAACCCTCGCTTGCTCTATCCAAATTGAAGAAAAAAAAAAAAAAAAAAAAAAAAAAAAAAGGATTTTGCCTATAGTTCTATGTTCCTGGTTTCTGAAAATGTAGTCAAGAAAGAGAGGGAGTATAAACTTACATGTTACAGTCCCCTCCCACCACTCTCCACTTTCACTTTCCCTGCTACTAAATATTTCATGGTCAACTGTGAGTGGTATCCTTAAGATTAGCACAACAGTGTGTAGAGAGCTTCATGGAATGGGTTTCCATAGCCAAGAAGCTGCATCCAAACCTTACATCACCAAGTGCAATGTAAAGTGTTGGATGCAGTGGTGTAAAGCATGCCACCACTGGACTCTAGAGCAGTGGAGACGTGTTCTCTGGAGTGATCAATCGCGCTTCTCTGTCTGGCAATCTGATGGACGGGTTTGGCGGTTGCCAGGAGAATGGTACTTGCCTGACCGCATTGCGCCAAGTTTAAAGTTTGGTGGAGGAGGGATTATGGTGTGGGGTTATCTTTCAGGGGTTGGGCTTGGCCCCTTAGTCAAGCCCCAAATTATTTTAAAATGCCTTGAATAGTCAGAAGAGTTGTACCATATTACAAATTCAAAAGAGAACAATAATGTCTAACTTGCAGTACAGTGAGACTTGCAACAGTGAGTGGAAAATGGCATTGTCGAAAATTAAAAAAAAAACAAAACATCATGGCAATCCAATTCTTGTATCCTATGCTCATTAAACTTCCTCTTTCTACAGAGACGCTGTTCCTGTTGGATGCCAGTCTTGGTGATAATATGTGCTGCAGTAACTGCATACCTTTTCTCCTCTGAAATTGAACATTTCCTTCAATGAATCTTAGGACTACCTCGTTTGTTATAGCAACTAGTTCTTTGTTTACGGTTTATTATTTCATTCAATTTGTATTCTACATTTAAAGCAATGTTAACAATTGTGCCATTTATATATATATTGGATAGAAATGTTACATTTAATTGCCATTTAAATATATATTAAAAAAAAGTTTTGGTATTTTGGTTTCAAATAAATATGGTAATCTTTTATTTTCCTGCTGAAGAGTACTAACTGTAGGTACAGATGCAAAATAAGGTATTATTCTTATATGCAGAGGCGTGCACAGTCTATGGCATTAGGGTGTGCACACCAAAGCTCAAACACACACGTGTGTGTAATTTAATAATAATAAAAAAAATAGATCTCTATCCATCTATTGTTTATACACACATACAGTCTTCCTTGCGGTACTTGGCCCTGCCGGCACATTATTTCCCATGCTTATATGGTAGCTTCCCCTGCTCCCAGCCAATTTTCTTCTATATCTTTAAGGTTATTTGATGGGTATGTAAACTAAAGCAATTAACTTCTCCTAGTTTGTATCTTTTGGTTTGCTAAATATACCAAATTAAAGTGTATTCTTTTATCTGTTCAATATACCGATTTAATCCTGCTAGAAATCTTGCCAGCTGATAACTGCCCATGCTACACTCTTGTCAGTTACATTGTTCTCAGGCTTCTCGCTGAGGACTGCTGAACACGTACCCTCTATGTTATGTAGTTCTTTCCTATAATGAACACCGTAGAAAGAGTCCCTGGAATTCATAAAGACTGGCACAGACAGATTTTGTGAACGTTGGTGCAGTGTTTGCCATATTCTCACACCTGTCTAGAATTTGATACATGCTGTGCCAATTTAGAAGGCAACTGAGACACTTTCACAAAATCCATCTGCGCCAGGGTCTCTCTCTCTATTTTCCAAAAGAGAGTTGGTCTTAATTAGCTCCACTTTCATATGATACAAAACTGTCGGTATTTCAGTTAGAACTACCTGAATTTGGCACATGTGCTGCTGTCAGAACCAAAAGCATTGCAGGTGCTTCATGCATCGGCACAGCACATTATCAAAAGGGAATAATGCCAGAAAAGTGGCACAGCAGCTTTACTGAAGTCCCCCCTAGTAAGATGAGTAAGCATAGGCACTCTAGGATAGGAAGTGTGTTACTAACAGGATTGGCAGTTGAAAATTAAAGAGAAGCCTGAAATAATAAAAATTCTAAGGACTGGTAAAAAAATGTTATATTTTACACTTTTGTTCTTCAGTTTAGATATGTTTTTAAAGATGAATTCCAGTTTGTTTTTTTTCCCTTTTGTATAGTTATATTCTGTCCCAAAAAAAAAAAAAAAACCCACACACAGTAGTAACTACCATCCCATGCCGAGCTGCTGCACGGTAGCCACAGAGGGGTCACTTGCTTAACACATGCACAATTTAGAACACTTTGCATTTTCTCAATGAATGCAAGCATTCTGTGATTGGGTGAGGCGGGGAACTGACATCATTATCTCCACCTTGCCCAATCAGAGAATGCCTTGTATCCATTGAAAAAAACATGCATAGCGTTCTCTAAATGGTGCCCATGCTGAACAAGTGACCCCCTGTACAGCAGGACAACTGCTCAGAATTTGGAAGACACCGAAAATCACTTTAGTAGCCTACTATATTGCTTCTCCACAATAAAAGAAAGAGGATTGATATATACATATTACACATCACATCCCTCTACTAAAACCAGTTAATGGAGTAACACATTTTAGAACAGTGTTTAGAACTGGTCTTCTTTAGCAGGACTGTAAAACATACTGATTGCAACTAAATCTAGGTAAGCTTTACACTGATTGCTTTTACACCCATAAAGGCTATAAAAGCAATCATTTCTGCCTTCTCTCTGGCTGCATTCTTGCAGCCAGAGAAAATATTGTGTGAGCTGTGATTGGTCACAGCTTGTCACATGGTACAAGGCTGTTGTGAATTGCCTTGTACCATGTGATCTCTGTGATCATTCACAGATTTCACATGTAGTAAGCAATGATGTCAGAAGTGACATCATTGCTTACTACTCTTCATGTGATCACTGATTGGCCAATCAGTGACAGTTGCACGGGACCTCTGTGTGCGCACACAAGCAGGGAGGACATTTATAAACGGCCACCCGCCCCTGCACTGCTTTTGTCCAGCTGTTTATATACATGGGCCAGACGGAAGTGGTTAAAGGGTTTATATATTCACAATTTATGAAAGGAACAAGCAAATAATTGTTATAACGTATATATTTACACATTACTCATGTTTGCATTAACCACTTGCCTACTGGGCACTTTTACCCCCTTCCTGCCCAGGCCACTTTTCAGCTTTTAGCTCCATTGATTAGAATAGTAATACTCTAACCACACCTAAATCATTTATGGTGGGTTAGTAAAGCATTTATAAAGGGTTAACTGGGTGTGGGGGGGGGATAGGTAGTGGAGGCTCCTGCATCTCAGAATGCACTGGGAAGTAATCAAGAACTAGGACAGAGCAGTTCCAGCCACTTCCTGGTTGTATAGGGCAGCTGTGTGGTAACAACATTTGCTTCTGTGTGCATTCAAAAGCATCAAGCCAGCTAGCAAGTGCCAGGTAGGAGCAGAGCCATTGAGCATTAGTCAATGGCAAAGCTTTTTGTTTCAGCAAGGTTGAGCTGGTCCAAGCTAAGTGTCAAAAAGATTAAAGTATACAAATCCATTTTGTAGAGAATTCACAAAAATGTCTGCTATCACACCACAACCTAACCACGCCTCAAAGTACATAATTTCCTCTAAATCACTTCCCCTTTAAGCACCTACCACTAGAAAAGAAAACACTTCCATGTGTATTAAGCATTTTTGAAGCTTTTTCAATACTTCATAAACACCATGAAAACATGCCATAACCACATCATAAATGCTCTAGGCCTGTTATATGAGCATTGCTTCCTTCTTCATTATCAACACGTGTGAACAAACCCTTAGGTCCATACACTTTAAACAGACATTTGTATAGGCATACCTGGCCATTAGGTGCTTGCAGACAGCCCTTTCAAGTGTATGCGGACACAGCCCTACACTGTGCACCTTAGAGAGGAAGCATTGCAGGACTGGTTGCACCATTGGAGGGTATTCCTTTACCCCCAAGCAAAAATGAGCATTTAGCCCATGCAGGATGGGAAGGGTGTCACCCCCTTCCCAACTTGTTCATTGGCAAGTATAAATCCAGTTTTTGCTGATGAGCATTGTAAAAAAATTGTTTTTATTTTTTTAGAAAAAAAGGATAGGTGATTATGTACTTTTATATCGCGTCAATTTACGCAGCGCTTTACATATATATTGTACATTCACATCAGTCCCTAACCCTCAAGGGGCATATAATCTCAAGTCCCTAACTTACATTCATACATACTAGGGCCAATTTAGACAGGATCCAATTAACTTACCAGCAGGTTATAGCAACATGTGAAGGGATGTTTACAGTGTTGCCTCACAATACAACAGGAAATAGATTTACCATTTTATTTAAATTTGAATCATATCCTATGGTCCCGACTATAATAAATAAAGCAAAAATATATACCAAACCACTCTATATCCCCTTTATAATAATATCCTTCCTTTTACTTTGACTTGAGTTAATAGTTCATGATTTTGACCTAAAATCTAGCAGTGCATTTTATAGTAAAGCAAATACATAATTTGTTGGACATATTCCAAATTGAAAATTCATATTATTTACACATTGTGTCACAGCGCAACAGCTGGTAGCATTACAGTTTCTGTGAGAATTTCAAGGTCTGTGAAATGTCCTTGCATATTAAACATCTGTCTAAGGCCCTTGATCCACTTCTGTAGGAGTGTTTGTACAAACTGATAGACAGACTCTGGAACTGTGAAAGAGTAAACTTGTATTTTCTGGAGTCCAATTTTAGGGCATGTAATCTGAACAGTAAAATGTTTGAGTGGTGTGAAAGATAAGCAATTCTCAAAGCTTTTTGAGGTGTCAAACCAGTAGACAACAGGAAAGTGCAGAAGGAAACCAAACATGGTGCAGAGGTTCCACTCAGGACAAGGAATGTGGACTACTGATATACTGTCTGGTTTTATATCCTGATAAGGCTTCAGAAGTGTCAGGAGGTCTGAAAGCTGGGACCTGATATGGCAAAGTTTATCTTTTTTAAACATCTCTGGATGCTTGAGTTGGGCAGAAACATCTATTACATGTAAATCTTCCCTATCCAATACCAATCCCAGATAAGAGACAGTGCTTGACACATTTATAATAAGAACTGTGTCTGCCATGTTAATAACATGGAGTGGCCCCTTTATGAAACCCAACCGATGAAGCTCCTTGAGGTATCCCTGAATTTGTACCACACCTGCACCACTGAGATCATATAGAAAACCAGGTTTCAGTCCACAGTCTACAAACAGAATTTCAGCAGCAAGTTTCAGGGCCAGCGATCTCTTCCTCTCTTCAAGGTGATGCTTAGCAGCCAAATGCAGATCCCTCATGAGGGACATTGTACAGCCTGTAACACAAAATGCATTTGAGAGATCAACATTAAAAGTCAAAGGCCACATAATTTGGAGCTTTAAAATAAAATGCATCTGTATGATCAAAGTATCTTTACAGTTAGTTTGGCTCTCCTAATAGTTCTTCAAACACTATCAGAAGCACCAGACAATGGGATATCACCATGAGCAGGTATGATAAAGTTTCTAGCTTTTACTGCTACGAATCCCAAATGCAGCTGCTCAGATAACAGCTTTAAAACCTAAGTTTATGCAATGCAAAGCACCCATTGTGCTGATTTAAGTGAAAGCCAATGTTCTCTGGGCCCAACTTCAACCCCACAATGGTAATCGTTTGGTGCTGGAGGGATTAATAGAGATGAGGAACCTGCCACAGGCACTCATCAAGAGTGCCCACTCTGCGTGACATTTTCATCCCCCTCCTCAATTCATAGAAGCTAAAACTGTACTATCGCTTCTATGAACCAGACCTTTCATTCATCTTCTCCTCCTCCATTCATAGATAGCTTTTGATTCATGGCTGCTACAGTACGCCACCTATGGTGGTGGAGTGGAAAAATAAGCAGTCTAGTCATGGTTTTACCACCCACCTTAACCCAACACAGTGGCTATAGGGGATTGTATGCATACAGCCATAATGCTTTGCTTCAAGGCTGCAATAAAAATGATACCCCCTACTGTGTTCACTGGGCAGTACTGCCACCAAATGCATCCTGTTCAAGGGTTGCCTCCTATCCGCCTATCAAACACTCTCTGGAAAGTAATCCACCACAGAGGCAAGTACTGTTGCAAGTGTAAATGAGCTCTTAATATTTAAAAACTTTGAGGGAAATAAATTATTGGCCATGCCACAACTGCATGCAGTGTGCAATGATGCAGGCTTACAGGGTTAAAACAAGTGGTGGGGAGGCAACAAATGGTCACCTGTCAAACACCTATGAAAAACCATCAACATCTGAAAAAAATGCCATAAATGCTACACCACTCTTCTAAATGGAGAAAACAGAGTAGATCCTGCTCAAGCCCCTTTTTAAATTAGGAGCAGCCTGTTCTGTTTACTTTGCCCTGTCTACACCAGATATGGCACAGACAGCAGGAGAGCTGTGTGTTCTGGCTCCCACTGCTTGCTCAGTTCAGCTGAGGATGAGGGGTAGGAGGATAGAACATGCCAAGCTCAGAGACTGAGCTGTCACCAACATCTCTGGGCAGGGGCGGACTGACCATTCGGGTACTCGGGCACTGCCCGAGGTCAGTAGGGGGCCCCATGAGATGTCCCTGGTACCTTTCATAAGCTTTTTTGGGTGTGGTTTGAGTGTGGGCAAGGACACGGGCCCCATAATCCCCTATTGCCCGGGGGCCCCATGAGTTGTCAGTCCGCCCCTGTCTCTGGGTCTTATACTAAAGCTGGGTATACAGTACATGTAGATTTTTTTCTTTCAACCAGCAGGTGCAGAAGGTGTGGATGTAGAATAAACAATTGAGTGCTGAAGCCTGCTGCGGCTGATCAAAATGCTGATTTTCCAGTAGGACAAACAAAAGCTGGTCTAATGACTAGCTTCTGTTGAACAGAGAGGGACCCACACATCCATATTCATCCAGTTCTTGCTGTCCCAGCCAAAATTACACATGACTATACCTAGCTTTATGGTTAGGAGCTGGGAGGTCCATCTCACGGACACATCATCGCTGTCATAGCCTGTGTTTGGTTATCACAGTGATTCTTCAATAAAACCCACTACTGTACAATTTTCTCCTTCTGAATGAAGAAAAAAATGCATCTTTTTTCTCCTAATCTGAGAAGAATGTAAATAAAAATAAATATTAAACAATTAACAATAAATATCGGATTAATTTAGGTTAGTATCGGTGCAAATGTGAGTAAAAAAAAAACAAAAAAACCCCACAACAAAAACATGCACTATTATTTATCTGGCCCTGTTACTGATACAAACAAATGATGTACACATACAGTATATGATACTACTGTAAATGTCACAAGTAGAAGTTATTTTTGGTGGAGAGTCATGGCAATGGCAAGAAATATAGAGTTGAATTAAAAAAAAAAAAAAAAGTAATAAGAATATTGTTTTTTTCTTTTTAACCAACACATTCCAGTGCTATACTCAGTCATTAAAGTGGTTGTAAAAGATTTTTTTTTTTTTTTTTTACATTAAGATAAAAAAAACAAAAAACAAAAAACCTTTTACATGCAACCCCCCACTCACTTGAGCCCAATCTCGGCACTGTGCACGTCTGCAGCAGCTTGTCTAACCTCTCCCAGCTTTCACAGGTCAGATCAGTGGGAACCATTGGCTTCTGCCACTGTCAGTCAAAACCTGTAAGCAGAGAATGGGGGGGGGGGGTTGGAGCCAAGCTGGGCAGTGTGTCTAAATAGACGACAGCAGCACGGCTCAGGAGCAAGCCCACGTGAGTGACCATCATTGGAAGCAGCTTTCTATGGTAGGCACTCGGCAGGGGGGAGAACCAAGAGCGCCAGTGAAGGACTCGACAAGTGGGGGATCTGTGCTGCTCTATGCAAAACTTATTTTTTTAAAAAAAACTGGGAAGCCTTAGTATTGTTTTGAGATTAATTTTACCTTCAGGCATTATGAGGTACAAACACACTTACGTTATGTGACTGTTCTTCTTTAACCACAGTTGTTACATTTCTGCTATGGACCTGTTTATTGTGCAATAACTTTTGCCATTACCTAAAAAAAAAAAAAAAAAAAGTAATACATATACTGATTATTAAGGACTAGAGAGGCTTTCGTTTGTGATATTGTCTTGCAAATGTACTTTTTCATGCAATACTTAGAAGAAAAAAAAAATGAACAAAATTAAAAACACTTAATTTTTGCCCAGTGTTCATTAACCACTTGCCTTCAAGAGGAATTACTCCCCTTCCTGACCTGGCCATTTTTTGCAATATGGCACTACGTTACTTCAACTGACAATTGCACAGTCATGCAATGCTGCACCCAAATGAAAATTATGTCATTTTTCCCCCCCCACAAATAGAGCTTTCTTTTGGTGGTATTTGATTACCTAAAAAATAAACAAATGTATAATATATATATATATATATATATATATATATATATATATATATATATATATATATATAATTTTTTTTTTTTTTTTACTATAAAACAAAAAAAAAATTTTAAAACTAATTTCGTCATACATTTTGCCCAAAATGTATTCTGCTACATGTGTTTGCTAAAAAAAAAAAATTCCAAAAATGTAAATGAATTGGTTTATGTAAAAGTTCTAGCATCTACGAATGGTGGTATATATACTAGAATTTTTATTTCTTTTATACTAGTAACGGCGGCAATCAGCGACTTATAGCGGGACTGCAGCGGGCATTCTTACACTGAGTGGGAACTGACTAACTGCCACTGACATCCCCAGTGACACTAATACAGTGATCAGTGCTAATAAAAAGCATCGACACTGTACTAATGACACTGGGCAGGAAAGGGTTATCATCTGGGGCGATCAAAGGGTTAACAGTGTGCAGTTTTGCTGTGTGTGGTTTACTAGGGAAACATGCTGCTGTGTATTTCTCTGCTGTCCAGAGAAATACACGGCAGCGTGTTATTGCTGGCAAGAGAGAGACCTGTGCTGTCTTTGGCCGGGACCCGGTGATTGACATCAATAGCCGCCAATGGCGGTGTGGGTAGGGTGGCACGCACGCACCCTACCCAGAAATGCAAATCACATATACATGTGACTTTGCACAACCCTGGCCCCCTGTAGCAGTATTTCTGCTATAGGGTGGGGGGGCAAGTGGTTAACAGAGGGTTTACACTATTCCTGTGTCAAATTACATGCAAATGCAGTGCGATTTGAGCCATACACTTTGTATGGCTCAAATCACATTGCATCCGTGCCAAAAAGGTGCAGGACGCTCTTTAAATCTGCATCTGAATCACATCACAATTGTGTTATCATCCATGCAATGCGATTTCTGGCAATCGCATTGCGTTTTGCGATCTGTTTTAGGGTGTCATTCATTTATTATTGACATCAACACCAGATCGCATGAACCTGATGCGATTGCAATGTGGTGTGGGAAATGCACAGGATTCACAACATTTCATGCACCACATTGGTGTGAACGTAGGCTCAAAAAAAAAAAAAAAAAAAAAAAAAAAAAAAAAATTATAAAATATTATTCTACAATTTATCTTGTTTAAAATGACACTAAAATTATGATTATGATTCTAATACAAAGTATTGTGTTATGATTCTAATACAAAGCATTGTGAAGTTATTTTACAAATAAAATAAAGTTGCTTTTTCAACTAAAAAGAATAAAAAAAAAAAAAAAAAGCATAAAAATGTTAGTTGAAGGGAGAAGGGGAAGAAGGAAGTTAATTAGGATAAACAAAGGGTTAATAAAAGGTTAAATCAACAAATTTTAAAAACTTTTTTTTTTTTCTTGTCAGGCTATTTTAACTGTCAGCATCTGCAAACTGAAGTTCAGCCCTTTGATCTGCAGATGAATGACACAAAGTAGATACAATATGAACAATGTTACTTTGTATCTCTCTACCAAAAAATGTTACAGTTATTTGACAGTAGCTATCCAGGAACTCATGGCTTCATTCTGCCAGCAATTGAGAGTATGTGGCAGAGGACTGAATACAACACAAGCTCTGTATATTTTGATTAATTATTTTTGGGTATGTCCCCAACTGCTCCCCCTTGCTCAGTCTGTTACCAGGTGTCTCCTTTAGCTATCTGGCTGTTAAAAGACACCCATGTAAGCGTGCTCCCATCTAGGATCTGAGCTGATTCGTGTGCGCCCATTGACCAACACGGCACCCAGAAAGCCACTCTCCTGCTCCCTCTTCCTCCCAGAGAACTGACTGATGGCATTAGGAGCTATCATTCCACTGCCATCAGCATCCTTGTCCACCATCTGGAAGGTTGGAGAATAATGCGGATATCCTGGATCCAGCAGCGGTCACAAGGGACTGCAGGTAAGTGTTTGGGGTCAGGTTGGCACAGAAAGGTAATGGAGTACTAGGAAGTAAGAGAATAGAATTCCAGTAAGAGGGAAATCTCCCCTTAGGCAATTGTCACAGGTACAAATGTCCCCATTGGAAGATTTCCCTTCTATTCCTGTTCTGGTGGGAATATACATTTTACACTTACCCATCACTTTTATTCCTGATGACACCGGTGATGGGCAAAGCCAACCATGCATGTATCATAATGTCCCCGTCCCTGCTGAAATGGCCACATTTCATTCCATGTAAATCAGACAGCCCCTTGCAAGTTGAGGATGGATCTAATGGCGATTGTATAGTGTATTGTCGCCTTAAAGAGTTACTAAACCCACAACAGTAAAACCAGTCTGTATATGCAGTAAAGCATCCTTGTTATACTCACTGTGGAACTTAAAGGGTTAATCCTTGCTTTGTGTAAAAAGGCTGTTTGATCCTGTCTTCTCTGATCCTCCCCTTCTTCCACAGCCCCCAATCCATCTGCTGATAGTACAGAGCCCTAGGAGGCACTATGCACATGCTCAGTTTGGTGTGTATTTTTTTTAAAGATAGTTTTTATTTTATTTTTTTTTGGGGGGGGTTCATACAGAAGGTTGGGGGTTACTCAGCCTCACTGGACAGTCAGAGGAGAATGAAAGCTCCTCTTACAAGCTTCACCAGTCCTTGATGGGACATCGGTAGAAGTGCTATATACTGCTGATGAGAAAAGGTATTTAGCAGTTTATACTGTGGGAGACCAGATATAGTGAATGCAGGGTCCTGGGTTTAGTAACACTTTAAGGCTTAGTTCACACATTTGGCGGGGGGGGGGGGGGGGGGGGGCAGCAGCAAGAATCATACCCCTGGGAAGCAAATGGGGTTGAGAACAAAGTCGTTTCATGTTAAAGACAGCGATTATTCATGGGGTAATGAATAAGCGCTGTCTTTAACGTTAAACACGTTTACCTGCCAGTCCCCCACTATATTTCCACTGTCTGTATTGGTTTTATCTTGGTTCAATAAAGTGGATTGTTTGGAGTGCAGCCGATCGGACAGCCTCTGTTCTCATCTATGCAGCACACGAGCTGGGCTAGCACCTACAGGAGGAGTTGTGCTTGGAGATTGGGAGTCTCTCTACCCTGAGCAGCAGTAAACATAGAAGTGAATGTGATAAGAATGGTATAAAGTGAGCGCTCTTGACCAAGCAGCTAGCACTAAAAGTAATCACAGTGTACCCATAAAAAGCGGAATAATAATATCAGAGTGCAGCACTAAGAGATAAGTGCAAAAGGCAAATAGTCCGTAGTTGTAGACTGGGTATAAATATATAGTCCCAAAAAAATAATAATAACTGATGAAGACCAGGAAGCAATGGAAAGAGTGCGCACTCACCGGACGCGCATGGAAAATGCGCATAAATGGATGTCTCCTGGAATCCTAAAGTAGATGGAAAGGGTGAATTCCAATCTTAGGATCAATCAGCCTGGGAAGATGTATCAGAGATCCGGAGGTCCCCTTAAGGTTGGTATGATTATCAGCCAGACTCCAAGAACTCCGTCCCTCCTGGATTAAAATGGCCGCGGGGCTGTCTCGTGGCTCCGGGCAGAAGATGACGTCATGCTCTGTCGGTTCCTCCTAAGGCCTTTCGTGCCCAAGCACATCATCAGAGGGCTTGGGCATACTCTGATGATGTGCTTGGGCACGTCATCTTCTGCCCGGAGCCACGAGACAGCCCCGCGGCCATTTTAATCCAGGAGGGACGGAGTTCTTGGAGTCTGGCTGATAATCATACCAACCTTAAGGGGACCTCCGGATCTCTGATACATCTTCCCAGGCTGATTGATCCTAAGATTGGAATTCACCCTTTCCATCTACTTTAGGATTCCAGGAGACATCCATTTATGCGCATTTTCCATGCGCGTCCGGTGAGTGCGCACTCTTTCCATTGCTTCCTGGTCTTCATCAGTTATTATTATTTTTTTGGGACTATATATTTATACCCAGTCTACAACTACGGACTATTTGCCTTTTGCACTTATCTTTTAGCGCTGCACTCTGATATTATTATAGAAGTGAATGTGGCTGTACTGCAATGCACACAACTTTGATCACTGCACATGGATTTACTAGGCTAAAAGAGGCAGTAAACATAATACCTTCCAGTCACCTGTCAAGCACCCACTGAAAAGCGATCCACCGCAGGTCATAAATGCAAACTAGCTCCAATGGTGGCCATGAATGCTTTGATAAATGATAGGCAAATTTTCTGATCGATCTTTCCCGATAGGAATAATTGATCTATAGTTGACAGTGCATACAATCGATATGACACACACAGGGAAGTCAATTTTGATCAACAGTTGGAAGATATGACTATAACCTATTGATCCCCGTATGCTTTTCCCCATTAAGCCAAGTTTCTGTGTGAATTCCGCACCACAATCGCATCCTGTTCATGCAAACCACTGTGGGTGTGTATGTTAAGTTAACAAAGTTAAGTTTGCAAAATTCAGTGCGATATGCAGAATTGGTTCACATGGATGTTAATGCCCACATGATCCGATCCAAAAAAAAAAAAAAAAAAAAAAAAAAAAAAAAGGATCCAGCAGCTTTTTGGTGAGGGTGCAGTGCGATTTGAGCCTTATAAAATATATGGCTCCAATCTCACTGCACAGAATTCGCATGTGATTTGCTCAGGAATGTGGTGCGGTTCCTGGACGAATCACATGCGATATGCCGCACCGCATCAGTGTGAACCCAGGCTAAAACTGATTGAAATACTATCAAATTCATTAATAAAGCATCCTAGTGCTGTCAATGGATGCACGACGATTGACCATTTTCAGCCCTGGCTGACTGACTATATATGGAGCAGATGAGAAGTCACACCTATTTGATTGTTTGCGGATTTGATCGAATTACACATCAACTGGATAAAGAAAAAAAATATATGGAGTACGGCCACCATAACAGAGACACAGACAGCAAGAACCTCTGTCAGGGGTTTTATATCTCCTCATCACTCTGTCCTAATCCAAAATTCATATCAGTACATTCAATGACATAATGAATGTTGCTGGAAAGTACCAGGTGGTATCAAAAAGTTTTGAGACTAGTTTTATAGCACAAGGCAACACACACAGTTACAGGGAGCACCAGGGGCAGACTGACCATTTGGAAACTTGGGCACTGCCCGAGGGCCCAGGGTCAGTAGGGGGCCCCATGAGATGCCCCTGGTACCTTTTTCATAGGCTTTTTTGAGTTTGGGCAAGGACACAGGGGCTCCATGATCCCCGATCCCCCCCGGGCAGGGGGCCCCATGAGTTGTCAGTCCGCCCCTGGGGAGCAGTGACCCTCATAAATCAGTGTGCCAAAAGACATCTGTTCTGTGTACATCGGGAGCTGTGCAACTGGTGCTATTCTGACCAAGTCTGCTATTTCATCATGGACAGCAAGTTAGAATAAAGAGGAAACCTGAAATTAGTTATACTTTAAAGGAAAAAGAATCTTAAATGAAAACGATTGAAGAAAACTCTACTAAAGTGGGGCTGCAGCACTATAAATAAAGGGTGGAGAGGAGTGAGTATTGGACCAGAGGCAG